ATATCGCAGAAGAGAGCAATCACAGACAGATGAAGTGTGCAAAACGTTAACTGCGAGTGTGATGTTTCGGATGGATATCGGAAGATCGAAAGAGACGTATAAACAAACTAATGAAAAATATTACACATAATAATGATCATATCTAATAGATGTTCAAAACGCATAACACATTTAAAGAGCAAAACTAAGGTTCGACACGTGAATAAAAAACAAAAAATTCAGTTGTGATGATATTTGAATGGTCACCATTCAACGCATCGAAATGTATTATTTTTCCGTTGTACAATGAGCATTATTCGAACCAATTTCTTTAAAATGAACAAATGAAAGAAACAGAGCGAATGAATCGTTGTGATTAAAAAACTGGCTTACTGTGGAACGAAAACGAGGTTTTGTACGGCATTCTCGAACGCTGCTTCACCATTCTTTTCCATTTCTTCGGCTGATATGTCAACGCTGCCTTGTTTCTTTAAAAAGTTTGCTTCATAGTCATCTAACGATAACAGTAATAACAATAACAAATAACAATTAACCATAATGATAATAAGATAATAACAGTAATAATTCACCCATCCCATTAAGCAAAAAGGTGTAAAAAGGAACGATAAAAGATAAACGAACCTTAAGCGCATTACAGTCACAACAACCCGGTTGCTTCGAGCACACGGGCTGTTGCTCTGTGGCCGTTGAGACGGCGACTGTGGGCAGACGGTTTGGATCTCTGAAGTGACGTCTACCTGCACCAGCCTTATCGTCACATACGTGACCAGCCACCGATGTGGAATCACTCAGAAACGGTTGCCACTTCACTATGTAATGCGTTATATCACCATTCGGTCGTAACGGTGGATCCCATTCCAAACTGAATTATTGCTCTTATTTCATTCTAGCAATTATTTTTTNATTCAACACGTCTTATTTCTGGCTGAATTCATCAATGACACTCTCCTATTAGCAATACAAAACACTTACAAAAGTTGATCCAAAACTCTGAAGAAATGTCTAACTTTCAATGACAACAACGCAGAAATTTTTCATGATGACAATTTAAATTTTAAGATAAAAATTTTGAATATACGAGGCAGGAGTAATTCAGCAATAAGAATGCATAAAAACTAATTTGTTTCGTTCAAAATTGATCGAAGAATTACTCCATCTGGTCGTGTTTCGTCGATCGACCACGAACGTCTTTCGGTGGATCTGGAGGTGAGAAAAGAGTCTTGACGAAGTGAATCTTCGAAATTGCATTCCTCGCGCCCGGATGATTGATCAGTTTTGTTTGGACATAATATGCATACCTGAAAACGTTATCTATAATTACCACCGTATTGTATACACTGTAATAAATGCAGCTGAATCATGACCCGTTCTGTCCACAACAACAAACAATTCAAAACACGTAAAAACTGGCCATGTATTTGATTCGACACTGAATAAGCCCGTTCCCCGATTCAAACCCTCTTTCGCGTTCCCCTTTTCCGGTTCAAAGTGCATCTGCCAAGAGTCACTACAAGCCGATCGATCATCGTCAATCGTTAAATTCGGATCAGGTCCATCAACCTTCTTATAAAACACCTGAAATATAATCGTAAGACAAAAAAGCATTCGCTCACATCTTACCATGACAATTCACCATCAAAAACCAAACACTTCGTATTCACAGAACAAAACATCTACGGAACTAAACGACCAAACTCGCCATTACCATCAACAGAATTTTAAAAAACAACAAAAATTAAACAAAATTACCTGATAACCAAGAAATTTACGATGATCCATATCGGTGGTGTTGAATGCAACCCACGAGATCATAAAACCGAAACTATGCACATCCTCAGTACGAACTTCAAATGTTGTCTCATTACCTGAATTTATTTCACTCTTTTTTTTNTTTTTTTTGCTCTCTTAAAAAATTTTTACACTCTCCCATCGCTCTACTAATGCACCTAATTCCTTCTTCATTCTTAGAAAACATTCCTAATTTGTTGACGGCACTTAGAACTGCAAATAATACGATTGTAGGCATTACATCATGTCAAAACTTTCACCACGAGTTTGTCAATGTTAACCACAATAAAATATTAATTTTTAAAAACAAATAAAGTAAAGCAAGTGATGTACCGAATTCATTCGGAATGAAAGAGAGCAAAACTTACAAATTGCCCTGTCACCATTGCTGTAGTATGAAACATCATTTTCCTTAACGTCCGTTAATCCAATATGATCAATAAGAGCTTTGATACGGTTATAACAGAGCATTCGATTGTTTTGAAACAGTACCGTGCCATTACCGATTTTCAGTGGTTGTCGTTCGATGTCGAATACTTGCCGTAGGTTCGGATTTTCGAACACTGCTAACGCATATCTGAATGAATCTGACCCTCAGTGAATTCACTTGAATGCACTCGAAAAACAACCACAATGATATGTAAATAATGCACAATTTATCCAATTTTGCAATTCCTTCGTAATTTTCATTTTCCTGTTCATTCACTTTAATTCAATGCAACGACATACCATACCATAATACACTTATTACAATCCACATTCAATTCATTTACCGCTTATAATATTCTGTATTTAATGCAATATACTTGCAGTAATTTTCTATTTAACAACATTATGAAAGGGTGTGCTGCTACAAGCATTAACGTAAACTTTCAACGTGTCTCAGTCTTGTGGCTCAAGAGTCAATGGGAATCCGAGGTGAACCTCAGTCACAGGGTCTAAGTCTCAGGCTAGGCCCCGTCGTACACTCCAGCCAAATACAGATTTTGGCGTTCGCTTGAAGCCTGTGTGTAGCCGAGCATCTTTTAACAGACACGTTCACTACTTTACTTACTGTAATGAATAAACAAAAGAAACGATTAAAATGTTGCAAAAGAACAAACAACTATAAACAGAAGATGCATAAGAAAGTGTTCAAAAAACGCGAAACGCACCGATCTCGCCACAACGTATTCCCTTTAATCAATCGAAGTCGTTTAAACATATTCAACGAAACAAACGAAACACTAAAATCGATCAGCAGATATCCTTCAATTATCTCGATACTTCCAAACGCTTCACCAACCTTCTCAATTGCAGCCGAATCAAGACCACTTCTGAATTGTTTCATATCGCATTTCTTGACTCCGCTTTCGTCTCATCATCAAACAATAGCAAACTAACCAAACTCATTCACAACCCTGTCGCATGCAGTTTCGTTAATGAACACACAAATAAACGAAACTGAATGAGGCCTTTTAGTTCAAGAAAAGTTTTCGGCCAGGCGAAAATGGCATATGTAAGTACGCCTTGCTATTTTCATAATCAATTCAGAAAATACAATAATCATTTCAAAACAAACGAACCTGAGTTCAATTTCGAGATAACCTTCGATCACGTTACATTTTTTGAAGTGATAATCATTGATACGTCCATACGAATCAATCGTGCCACCCTTACATTTTACCGGACAATATCCCTCACACTTAACGCACCTCGATGAGTTGTGTGGATCTAAATTTTATTATTCTAATATGCATACGAACATAAAACGAGTTGAAAATCAATACACATAACAAGTTTGAGTCTTTCCCGAATAATTTACACTTTGAGAAAATGAAATGTTGCAATGAAGCTCAAGTTGATGGAAAGCGAATGAGATGATCAGCGGAAGAAAATGAGAAACGAACCAATTTCCTGCCCGAACGGACAATCCACTCGACACATATTCTCAACGATAAGCATTTGCTTCTTTGTGCTTTCCGATGTAACTGGCGCTGAGATATTTCGACATTCCTCCAATGTTACACAACGACTGAAATATATTTCCAGTTATCACTTCAACTGATGACATTTTACTAAGCATGTAATCCACTGAATGTATTTACAATTCAACAAACAGTGATAATACTAAAGGGCTGATGCGACGATAACAAAACAACAAGAATATTGGAGATGAACTGAGTTTATGAACAACAATAACAAGTACAGTGTGAATTAGTAACCGTATAAGATAAACGTGATGGATTTCGAAGAGATGATCCGGACACTTTTGTATGCAGACTCCATTGTGAATGACATTCTTACAAAAATGGCATGCACTCGGATCATTCGGTTTCGAACAACCACCCAGACACTGAGCGTGACACTTACGACCGTAATCGTCACAACCAGGTCCTGGTGTTTTGTCTTCATTTCGTGCATATGCGCACTCTGCAAATGATACCACTTGATTAATTCATTTCTTCAATTATCTATTTATATTCGCATGCTATTTATTATAGCGTGTTGCTTCAATATCACACTAATGCATAGCACTTGATTATGGAATGCTTTGCGGTTTGATAAGGAATGAAATATTTTGAAGTATAATGTATGATGAAACAGAAACATTTTTTACACATTTGATATGAGCAACAAAATATCATCTGCCATAATCAATCGAGCGCAAAAACATTTCAAATATTTCCGGATGAATCAACAAAATCGATGACTAAATTTTGGAATTCAGTCGAATAACAATAACATAAAGCATCCTCCGAATGAATCGCTTTATGCATTCTATTTCTGAAAACCTTCAGCCCAAAATATGTGTTCAACAACAAAACAGTTACAACAGTCCAAAATTAATCACAACATTCATTGCTTCATTGTGTTTATAAAAAACTGTATCTATTCTACAATTGAATAAATATTTTGAATTCATTTCATGTTCTCACAAAGAAAAACGAATATTGTTTCATTGAATGCGAAAATTTTCAAAGACGAATGTAGAATTATTTGTGCATCATTCATTTTCAACGATTACAGAAGCGAATAAACACTCTTGACTTTCGTTCATTCAATTCATTCGCTTCATGATGAAAAAGTCAAATATTTCTCATGCATACGAGGACGCATAAAGAAATGAAACAACAGTGATGCAATGACACTAACGTATTTGACACGTTTCTGCATCCCAACACGACAACACGCCATCAACCTTATGACACCGACTTTCGTCTTCGGGCACACACTCATCGCTACACAAATCTACAAATCTCTTTCCACTGATTTATTCTAATACAGCAACTGTTATGACAAAAGCAAACGATAACGCACACAACAACTAACCAGAATCAGTAATTTTCGACTGATCAATGAGTATATCATTTGCGGGTCCAATGAGCATAGTACCCCAATCAATGTAACGACTATAACAGAGTTGTGTGTTATCCATAATACGAACACCGCCATTAACGATCGTCGTTAACTTCGGTAATCCAACTTCAACAAGGTGTGTATTCTGATAGATCACCAACGCATAGTTCATTATCAACTCCTGACCGCCGATCACTCGTAAATTCGGAAACATCCTTTTCAGTGATCGTAATGCACTGAAATTTCACTCACTCACACTTGCAATTGTATTAAAGCATTTATTAGCATGATGAAACGATGCATCTGTAGCTTTTTAGGTCGTACAATGAATTGTATTCTTAGAGTACTATGTAAACTTTAGCTGTTAATATTCGTCGATTCAAACAATTCTATGACGACTTCTACAACAGTCTGGAATGTGTCAAAAAAATAACGCTGGATGATAGACATGTGAAAGTGAGTAGGGTTATTCGTTGGGAACGGGATTGAATGTTTTCGATGGCATTCATTCATCAGAAAAACCATTACTTTGCTTGTACACATACCTTCTACTTATGAATATTTTCTTTTGTTGGTAAATTCTAACAAAGTAATTTTGAGACATGTTTCATAAAACATGACTGATAATCCAGGAAATAGTTTGGTTGAAAGTATTCTTAAGGATGCCAATTTTTTACAAATGGTTCAAAAAATAAAAAACTGATTTATTGAATAAAAGAAGTATTTGTGACTGATGTGCTCATGGGATGCAAACCGGGATGAAATGATGAATATTGATATTAACGAATGAATACATGAAACAAGTATCACTTCTCATACCTGACTTGAAAAACAAGTAAATGCCCAGTGATAACACGCAATCGTTCAAACACTGGAAAACTTTCATGCGTATAATTCGCACTGGTGATCATTGAAACAGAAAAGTCGCCCTCCATAACAGTACAATTTGTGAGTGTTGACAATTTGTCATTTGTTTCCTTATCTTGGAACACCATTCCAGGTCTATTTCGAATATCCAACGATCGACAATAAACATCTTCACCGGTGAGAGTCTAGAAATTCGAAAGGTTGCACATGAATCGAGCTTGTCATCGCAAATTTATGGGATAGCTATTTGTAAGAAGTGTGTATGGAATAGAAAGTAACGTAATTATGATTAGAAGAAAAGACGACAACATAAGCTTTCCAACTGTTTTCGTTTACAGAGCATGAACATTTCGAGGAATCTTTAAGAAGTTAATAAGTAAGTCAGTATGCTCAACAAGTTAATTTTGGAGATGTTTTATTTTCAAATGCTTTCTTCTCATAGAGATACATGAACGATTAAATATTAGTAATCGGTCATTATTGTAAACATGTGTACAACTCATGCTACTGTTGTTTACGTCAATACGATCGTGTGCATGCATGATTTTGAATTGCTACCTACACATGATATCTGCACATTGCTATCTACGCAAACACATGATAAACAATGATATAAGAGGACAGCGATGAATGCAAATGTTTAAGCAGAGTATATTTTTCAGTTATTTTTGCACTTTCATCTGTATAATTAGTGATGATTGGTCGTGCCAATCAAATGACAATGCAAAAAAATGACGTCATTTCCAAAGTCAACATTCAGAACACAGTTCACATTTATCCATCAGACACAAACAAATTATGCATAGGTAAAAGTAAATTTCATAGAGCCACTGTTCAAAATGATTCACTCGTTCAAAATGTTGTTCAGTTTCATTGCTGAACGTTTACACAACTGATGAAGTGTAGAATTCGAATTACTTGTGAATAAATAAAGTCATTTGCTCGTCAGAATAAATAATTGAAATACAACGAACCTGAGTGACAAGCGTGAAAAAGAACAAAACGGTGAGGATGAAGTTGTTTTTGATGCAAGGTGAACGGCACGACTGCCGATCACTTCTTGCTTGTCGCAATATCATTTCGATTCAGATTATTATTCGCAATTATCAAACGCTAATTGCGTCGTTACAAAACGACGCAAATCCAACAACGCGTCAAACTGGATACTTTTTATGCCAGTTAGTTCTGAGTTGCGTTCAGGCTGCACAATAATGACGGATTTCAGCTGAACGAAAGCCGATCAAATTCAACCTTGAAGTGAATATGCGATTTGATTAATCCGATTCAACAGAAATCAAGACGAAATGAGCTCGTTGAAATGAGAACGAGTTCACGGGAATAACAATCACCGAGCGGGGTGAAGGTGAAGCCAGATAAGCATAAAGTGTTTGTTTATTTGGCTCAGGCGCTTGTAAAGCTCGCCGAGATGCAGTCGTTTATTGTGCGTAGAACGAATCTGAAACTCGTGAAACATACAACGCATTGTTCGTAATGGAGAAAAGCGATCAAAACGAAAGCGATGTTAACAACTCATCGAACGCAATAATAAATAAGAGTGTGATGTTCTCGTTGAAATGTTATTTTAGCATAATGAATGTAGAAGCGTCAACATGAATGCAAAGAAACTATCCAATAAAACAATCACATGTATACATTTCAATGATCAATTTTTCATGAAAACTTATTGTATATTCAATCACATTAATCAAAACTTCTAAACGTTAGCCATTTTCAGCGTTGAATAAGTAAACGTTACCACAATAAATTCGTTAAAATCACTATATTTCAATATTGCATCATAAAATGTGCATTACGATGGAATAGAATTTGACTGAAATCCAGAACACACATCGATTGAACAAATCCGTCAAGATCGAATCACAAAACCTGATGCTATTCATGCGTTGATGCCAGCGCATTGTTGGTGCGTAACGCTAAAATAACATTTCAACGAGAACATCACACTCTTATTTATCAAAACTATTTTTCTTTACGAGCTGATTCGCTCATTCGGCAAGCTGATTGTTCGGGTCTACGACAAATCCGAACTACGTCATTTTGAAGCGCATAGTCGGCCAGGAAAGTGCGCGTTTGGGTTCGACTTTTGAGCAATGCGTACGCATGTTCACCATTACATGCTTGTGTTAGGAAATGTGTATTACTCGATATACTACGGTCTCTCATATTCATTATGAGAAGGATCGCTCCTGCAAACAACCGCCTGAACTGAGGGAACTCGGGGCAAACCTGGGGCTATGTCGGGGCAAACATAACGGTGAACATGCATCTAAAGTCGAACCGAAACGAAGTTTCCTGACTGACTAAGCGATTCACAATGACGTAGTTCGGATTGGTCGCGGACAGATTTGTCGGTCATCCGATAGTTCACCACGAACGGAGTGATAGTTCGTCAAGTGTCGGAATACGCATTTTTGTTTGAGAGATGTTCAGAAATGTGAATTTCTTACCAATTGAACGGAAATAAATCCGGGCAATTTATGTATCGTTTTGTAGCGCAGGTGCAGAAGAATAAAAGGTCGTATACGGAGTGGGCAGCAACAAAGAAGTCTTCGAGATTTTCTATTTCGCTTTAAGTGCAAAGGTTCAAGAAAGAATTGGAATTCTTACCCACCCAACAGGCAAAATTCATAACCATTACATACATCATCTTGTAGCCGAGAATGAGTACCCTAGAGAGATGGATTAAAGTTTGTTAAGTTACGAGAGTTATGCCGCTTGGCGTGAGCAGTGGGTGATGTTCAATAGTCACAATTGGCATATGTACTGGAGGAATTGAAATTCTCTCTGCCTTTCACGGAGGAGGGTGTAAAAAATTCGGATACTTCTCACCGCCTTCATCGCAATGGAAGGAAGCCATATGCAAAAAACACAAAGGAAAAGCGGTCGTCAGTAGCAAAACAAGAGTTGGCAAAGAGTCGTTTCTTCGATACGTCCAAACAATACTTTATATCTCAAATCACGGCTGACGGCAATTGCTCATACAGAGCGTTGAGTCTCTGTGATAGCGAGACTGAAGACAGCCACGCGGCTATCCGAATATTGGTAAATTCATTGAAACACACGGGAATAGTGCTTCGTTCTTGAGATTCATCTGAATTTTTGAACGTATATTAAATATCTACTGTTCAGCACTAGATTGCTATGGAAAAATTACTAGTACAACATTCAAGGTACCTCAGTCCTGAATTTCGTCCTGTAACAATGAGTTTTCTTAGCACCGTTGGAAATCTGACGTTCCCTGCTATCGGAAAAGCATGTATTTTTTTAAGGGATTTTGCTTACTTCCTAAGCTATGGCTAAATATCTGAACAGCACTACACTGCTGTAGGAAGACCGCTAGTACATTTAAGGTAGCTCAGTCCTGAAATTTGACCTGTAACAATGTGTTTTATTGGTATTATTGGTCTTGGCAGTCTTTCTTTCTTCTTAATTTTTTCTTTTGAGGCCGAGAATTTCAATTCCTCCAGTACGTATGCCAATTGTGACTATTGAACATCACCACTGATCACTCCAAGCGACATAACTCTCGTAAGTTAACAATTGGCGTCAAACTTAATAGCATGTTTCTAGGTATTGAATCTCGGCCACACGATGATATATATCATGGTTATAAATTACTCTTTCGAGTGAGTAACAATTCAAATTATTTCTTGAAGTT